GTGCGTTGAATCTTCGCGATTCAGCTTTGCGAAAGGGAACGACGTCCACGTTGGGTTCATTTCGTGGTTCGCAGTATCGAAAATGGAAATCAGGAAGAAGTTGTACGAGAATGTCGGAATGTATTTTGTATTGTGGTGAACATAACTTTGAGGATGTGGGGTTAGTGGGAATTTTGGAACGTCAACATCACGTGTGCGTTCAGATGTTCCTTGCGACTGCTCCAATTTGAAATGGAGAACATTTGCAGAGCGGTTGTTAATTTCATTTTCGATCGATCCTGCGTAAATAACATTTTATTATCGTGAACGTAAAATATCAAGGTGCAATAACAGTGAAGTATTGTATTACAATGAAAAGTACAGTAGATAGTTAAAGTAAGAGTATTAAGCATAAAGTACTGCTGTATGAAGTACAGTAAATACGGAGAAATACACAGGGTGAGTCTCCTAACACGACGACTGTTTCAAACAAAAGTTGCACGGTGTCTAGGGGGACATGTTTTTTATCACCTTACTATTTTATTGAGATATTAGGGTCACCTTCAGTTTCTTAAATGGAACGTCCAATATTTTTTTTCGAATTCGGATAAATCGTCAAATTTTGCGTAGAAACGTATTATTACAAAGCGGGACTTAAAATGAATAACTACTGAGATATCTTCAAATTAATAATCTTCTATTAGGAAATACGCTCAGACAACGTGATTCTTAACACGACTTTGTTTACTTGCTTTATAAATATCTCCCACTTTGTGTAATACTTTTTTGCGCAGAACTTGATGATTTATTCGAATTCGAAAAAAAATATTAGACATTACATTTAAGAAACTGAAGGTGACCCTAATATCTCAATAAAAAAGTAAGGTAATAAAAAACAGATTAGAGCACTGTATGTCCCCCTAGATACCATGCAACTTTTCTTTGAAACATTTTCTCTTACAACGAATAAGTCGTCATGTTAGGAGACTCACCCTGTACACAGAGTGTTCTTTAACGAAATTGCCAAACTTGGATAACATTGTTCGAATACAAAAACTTTTTTGTATTTTAATTTCATTAAATAGAATCTTACAATAAAATACGGTTAAATAATTTGTCAGCCACAAAAATACTACGTAGTTTTTCTTTTAATCACAGGAAGTACACTATCAGGAACACCGGATGAGATACATAAAAGTGTCGCATTACTATTGTACAAGGTGACATTAAAAACTCTAAGGCGAGTTAACCTCTTCAGGGACACCGACACATTTCCGAAAATTCCAATATTTGCGGTAGAGAAAATATGAGAAACGCAATCTTCCAAAATCTGGAAAAATCTCTCGTAAGGAAAGTAGTTTAATTGCTATCGATTTAACACGAATATAAATGTAACTACATAAAAATTTAGATCAATATTTTCTAATTTTAAAGAAAATCGTCCCTGAGGAGGTTAAGGCAGGGGGAAAGTTTCAGTTATTCTTAGAAAATTTATTGAAAACTCTGTTATACAGAACATTATTTCTTACGCTAGTCAGACTTTTCGAAACCACGATCGTTTTCCATTGAACTCTTCATATGAATTATGCATCAGATCTGAAGCTGTTTCATGAATAATTGCAACATTCGTGGAATAATTCAGAAACTAGCTGCGATCGTTCGATATCAAGATCGTCGATACGAGGGGAATTTTATTTTGTTTTCCATGCATGCCACACTTTTCGACCAAAAGTAATGTTTCATGCGGAGATTATGATCACACGATAAATCGAGTTTCATTTGGAGAAAATAAACTGGTACAAGGACTGTGGAACTGGCGAAAATCTTCGAAGGGTTTCCTTGTTGTTCCAAATCGCACTGCGGTCCAACCTTTCTGTCGTCGTATCCTGAAACCTCGAAGGATCATAATCGCGAGACAAAGCGTATTAATGCCTTATCCGTGTTCGTCGGGGACATAGAACAACGGACAGAGAGCAAAGAGGCCACTGAGAAAGCTGGTAAATTCAGGTATAAAAGGTAGCGATTCTATTTCCTAAAGAAAAAATGGAAATTACCAAAGTTGAGTTTCGTGACTGAATTATCTGTTTTTCAAGAATTTCTTCTTTACCCACCGATCGTTGCATCTGTAATGAATACTAAATTGAGATGAATTTCTAATAAAAGAACAATATTAAAATAATACGAATAATAGGAAAATAAATATGAAATTAATACGTTTTAGTGATTGTAAAAGTTGGTGCAAATCAATTTGGAGCTCGACCAAGAGGAAACGAGTTCGTTCAGGGCCGATCTTTTGTAGAAAAGGTGACAAAGTTCTATTCAATTTTCGCCATTTTGTGAAACCGGAGAAAATCATCGAGGAATATACTCGGGTGAATATTTACAACAAGTAAGATTCATTTTATTCCGTGAATAAATAAAGATTGAATAAATATTACGATGAGATTAATTCGATCTTTTCTTTGTAATGCTTCGAATCAAGCGTTAAGCGAAAAGATGTCTGCAAAGTTAGTAGAGGAATTGTGGAAACGAACGAGACACAAAATGGCGATGGATCTTTCGAAAAATCTGATCTATTGGAATTTCGCAGGCCGCATTTGGTCAAGATAAAGAAGAAAGAATCGCCGAAATCTGCATCGAGTTTACAGGAGAATCGAGCTTCAGACGTGGATCTTCGACGTTGCAAGTCTAAACGAGAACAAACTCAAACGAATTCTAACAGTGCGGAAAGAAACATACCTGGATGGAGGTTAAAGAAAGTTAGATATATTATATTGAAATTAAGTAAAGAAAATCTTCAATTTTTAATTTTCATCTGTTTTATATCAATCTTATTTCAATTCATCGACGATGAATTTATGAAATCAACAGTCCGTGGAAACTGTGCAGAAGAAGACGAGAAGACTCCCAAAGAGGATTTCAGCGACGCACAATTTCGTGTACGAGTTCAACCTGCTTGGGAATTCCAATAATGTAACAAGGGGAGTTCCAAACTTATCGACCTTTGGACAAGGAGGTACGTGTAAATTTCTGGTGAAAAGAAAGCTTCTTTTTCTTTTCATTTTTCTTTATTTTCAGATTCCCCCCTGAGATCTGCAAACGGTAAGCCAAATTTTAGCAATATTCAGATGAACACGGATGTTGTACTGCCAAATTTGTATTCGAATAATAATGTAATAGAGAACTTGATGAGGCAAGAAAATATGACAAATAATGGTAAAAACGTGAATTTGCCTAACATAAAGAGACAGAAAATGGGTGTTGAACAACGATCGGTTAAAAGTCGCGGAGAAAGACGTAAGATATTTTTATGCATATATATATATCGTTTTTAAATAAATGCGTAATTATTCTTCGATTCAAAAATTATATAATGTAGTAAACATAATATAATTGTGTATGATACCTATAGTTATATTGTATATTTAAAAATTCAATAATATCTAGTTTTTTAATTCATATTACCATAAAAAGTTTTCATTATCAAGGGGAACGGATTCCTGTCAGTGATATCGATCGAGAAGTCGAGAAAGTGAAGTCGGATTGGAGAGCGCTACGAACCAACGGTGGATGGACGCAGAGCAAAAATTTTGCGAGCACTCGAAGCAAGAAATTATACAGTACGTTAGAGAAAATGAACGAAGAGATAGACAAAATGCAAAAAACGTACTTGGATCCGAAAGCAAATCAGTTTTTACATCGAGGCGCGATAAAAGCGTTAAGCTCACCTCGCTTATCTTTCGAAGAAAAAGCTGATAAAATTAAAGACATGCTTTTTCCCAATGAAACTAGAAAAATGGTTGACCAATATACCGACGAAACGTTGAACGATATATCAAACGATTTATCGAATGAAATTCCATTGAAAGATACGCATATTGACAAGGAAAGGAAATCGTTTCTTCCTAGTATTCGACCTCGTAATGTTAAAAGTGCAAAAGAACAAAATACAGGTGCAAATAATCGTCTAAATGTGAAAAAGATTAATTCTGACATTGAAACGTATTTGGACAAATATATCAGCGAAGCGGAGAAGAATTTTGTTAATAAAGAAGAACCGAAGATTAAAGAGATAGATGTACCTTCTGCAGATGTGACAGATATGTTGAAAAGATTGAATTTAAATTCTTTCGACATATACGATTTTGGCGATGATTGCGAGGACAATTCTCCGCTACAAAGTGTGGATAGAATAAAATTTGTGAAAGCACATAATTCTGTACGAGCCCCTGTGAATGAAAAAAATGAAAGTATGAGAGTAAACAAGGAAGCAGCTGTAGAAAGTTTATCTTTCAACAAGGATGATTATTTAAGACGATACAATAACGTGTTAAATTCGGATACTTCGATTCAAACAAACACCAGATCCATTGGCGGGGACAATGCTTTCATAGAGATGGGTTTGCAGGCATTGAACAATAATTTTTCTCAAAATGCACTGGCACGTGTACTTCAGTCAGAATATTTAAAAAAAGATGCATCATTAAAACCTATGTAAAATGTTAAATACTAATAAAATGAGTACAATTCGTATATAAACGATGAAACTGAATATATACTTGTGATCAAATAAAAAAGATAAAAAAGGTATACAGAATAATATTCGAAAGACGTTTTAAACGATATAGAAAACATATTTTTTCTCATTTATTGTAATACATTGCTTACCTAATTATTAAAAGTATCTCTCTATGCCGATGGGGTGCTTCAAACACATTTAAATTGTAATATTGTGAAAGTTAAATTTCTTTGCTTTTCTTTATATATACAGTCTTATGTTTTACAGAATATACACATTCATCTTCTATATGTAAAAATGAGAATTCTCGTTTATTTATACGCTAGAACGTATCACAATGTATTTTTTTCGTTACCTATCGTTAAAACATATACAAATAAAAAAATCATTAGTTAAACTATATATGTTACAAGTCGGTAAGAAATCTCGTTCAACCAATTCCATCACATGTGCACAAAACTATGGCACTACATTCTGTATAATGAGCGATCTGCGTTACGTCGGTGTAAACTAAACCGAACGACAAGAATATATGAAAACATCTCTCGCAGTGTATATGCCCAGTACTTTGATATGTCTTCAACTGATCGACGTGTGATGTGTAAACGTGCCATATTGATGCTTTAATAAATGGTTAAAATTTTCGGTAAAAATCGCGTCCAGCGATCACGATCGTAAAAGGTACGTTTACGTAGCAAGTCTTTATCGATTACGTTGCTTCGTTGACTTTGATGATAACCACTTGCAAGCTCGCTTTCAGTCACAACATATCACAATACTGGAAGTGCAGAGCTGTGACTTTGGTATATAATGGCCCCTGTGAAATTGATCGCTGCAGCCAACACGAAAACAGGCATCCAACGACCGTGCGACGCGGTCACTAATTCGGCCGTTAACGGACCACACAAAATACCCGGTATGGTTGCCTAAAATGTACAATTATTTAACTGGTTTATTTACAAAATATTTATCCTTAATTTGAGAAAAGTTGAAACGTACGATAGTATTTGAAACAGCAAATGTGATTCCCGCATGGTTTGGTGCAATATCCGCATGGTTACTAAGGTGACCCGCAGAGTTACACGCGCAGAGTCCCATAGATATCGAAACAAAGCTGTACAGAAACAAAGTTACGTTGTAAAATGGAAATAAAAGTTATTAAAAATTTAATTACAATACTAACATCACTGCAGCAAGTAAATTATCCACGGCACAGAATGCAAGTAAAAATGCACCCGGACCAACTAGGCCTATATTTGTCATTAACCTTCTCACAGACAGGATTGACCATCTTTTCTGTATGAGATTATCAGCACTGTGACCAGCGACTGTAATAAAATAAAAAGATTGTTTTAATTATTGATCTTTCACAACTTCTCTGCTCAATGTTAGATGACACACACCAATACCAACAAGAGAATTCACAATATATGGAAGTGCTGTCAGACTAATACTTTCTGTATTAGCAGAAAGATTTCTTGCTAGGTATGTTGGCAACCACTGCATTATTATGTAATTGCTCCAATTCATTGCAAAATGTGCTATGTACAATGCCCATAAAGGCCAATATGAAATAAATTCAGTCCACCGCAAACTTCTATTTTGAGTTACCTGAAAATGAGGAGGCATTAATTAATTCTTAAATATCATATTCATTAAACAAATTAATTTAAACAAATTCACTACCTTAGGTACAAACAATGGAATTTCATCTTGAGAATTAGTTTCATGATATAATATTAGCCACAAAAGTGTCCATACAATACCAAATGATCCAAACAAATAAAATCCTGCTTGCCATGACATACGTGGACACAACTGTAAATATTTTATATATTTTAAAAGAAACAATAATCAATAAATAAATACATCTTTATAAATAATACTTTATTGTGAAAAATATCAACTTACAACAGATGCAACTACTTGTCCAACAGAACCAGCTGCTACAAGATACCCAAATGCTCTAGATCGTTCCTCCACAGGAACATTGTGTGCAAATAAATGGAAAATGACTGGTAGACCTGAAAGCAGAATCTTAAATGTAATAGCAGAATATTGTAAATCTACATATATATGCTCTTTAACAGTACTTTACCTAGGCCTTCTCCAAGTCCGAGAACTACTCTACAGATAATGAGCAGTGGAACTGATTGAGCCAATATTGGAGTTATAACTGTGCTAATAGACCACAGCAAAACAGCCAACATTAATACAGTTTTACACCCAAAACGACTTGCTGTATTTGCACCAATAATCTGATGTGAAAAATAAATTAAATAAATACCATAAATAGTAGATAATTGTATAAATTATAATACGAAAATTGTAGAAAACTGATATATCAAACATTTTAATATACCTGACTAGTAAAATAACCAAAGGCGAAAGCAGAAAGTATCCAGCCTTGCCAATGTAAATTCCACTTATATTCGTCAGTCATACGAACGATTGCTATAGGCATTATAACGCGATCTGCCGCGTTTATGAAATTTGCAGCGGAACATAATGCCACGATCTGTGAGGTACGTGGAAGCATTCGAAATTTTGGCATGTTTGGTCAATTTTTCAAATCAGTCACATCGCACAACCAGTCCGGAAGATCCTAACCTTAATCATACGTAGAATAAAAAATTTATTGAAATGCTACATCACTGGATATTACGTCAACGTTAACGAAAAACATCGTGATCACTTGCTTATATTTTACACGGTCGAACAGTCTGCTACAGTTAATAAATGTCGTAAAAACAAACGTAAAGAGTATTCACATTGTCAGTCATGAAAGCTGCAGGACTTGACGTGTCAAATACCACGATATGCAACAACGTGTGCAAAGATACTTTTCACTCTGATTTATAGATGGTGCTCGGATCTAAGCAGACTAAACGTTTACCTAATTTTTCATTCATGTTTATTTCATTTTAACGAAACCGATTTATTTATATTCTAAATGTTTATTTTTGGTAGTAAAGAAGTATACACGAAGGAATATTTCAATTCCAGCACGTGTTCCGATTCTCTCCTCCACTTTATCATGAAGAGTGCGGTCAGATAAATAAATAATTGAAACGCATTAAATTGACTAATGACTGTAATTAGGAAAATTTTGTTCTTTGTAATTATATTTATGATTACTTAACATTGTCAACAATAATTAATATACAAAGAAAACTAATATTTGATAATTATCTTATTTATTTAACATTAACAGATGTATTATACACAGTGGAAATTTACACAGTTGTTTTAACATGGATCTTTTCAAATGTATATACAAAGGGTGTAATATTAATTTCAAAGGAAGGTGATAACTCTCGGTAATCGCAGCTTCTGTCCTAATTTGTCGAAAACATTGCAATTTGGCCTTTGATGAATATCTTATGTTAAATATTTGCGAAATTTAATTGTGGGGAATATGTTCTCCTTGTGGTTGGAAACCATTCTCGTCGGCAACGTAGTTCACAGTGTATGGAACGTTGGTAAGTGGATCAACGAAGGAGAAGCTGCCGCGAACCCTCAAGAATGCACCTTCAGCTCCGCCTTCGACTAATTCTGCAGTTTCATGTTTGGCCTGTCCATCAGAAAGTTCGTAGCCATAATTATAACCACCAAGTCCAATGTTATCTGAAGGAACCTCTTTCACGAGGACTGCCGGTACGTGTTCAAGTACTAATGGAGGAGGAGCTGCCAGAGCAACGGCGACGAGAGCGGCGAAAGCGATAATCTGAAAGAGATTTAATACAATCGATTAATGGTATGATTAATTTACATTTAAATTAAGTAATTCGTTTAAATGGTAGTGAAGCAAGCTTAGAATTTAACCTCCAAAGAAATATATTTATACGTGTTAACAAAAATTTGTAGTAGCTTAAACAAAAAATTTTAAGATGTAAGTACATAGAAGAGTAGTGAAAATTATAAATTAATTTCACAGAGAAAAGAGAAGTGTTCAGAGAAATGAATTCAGATCAAAATTAGTACATTTTGAAATTTGCTTAAAAAAATTTTATAATTGTTCGATTATTGTAGAAAAAATGTCTTTTTCTCAGGAGACTCGTAGTAAACCTTTATATCAGTTGCTGTGATACATACGGTTTTCATTTTGGAGGTAGATGTGTTTGGCTAGTCTGGATTGGAAGACTGATGTCGATACTGAGAATCCTCTCCAATTTTATAGTGGTCCTCCTCCTGCCAAAAATCGCACGGTTCTCTGATAAATTCACCTTTCACCTTCTCTCGTTATATTAGAGACACGATCATTGATAGTTTGACCTTCATTGTAAAAGTGTGTTGGTCCGGCGAAATTAAAGTTTTCAATTTTTTTTTTTTAGATTTATCAGGGTGTTACCCCACGAAGTCAAATACAAGCAAATATGATGGTTACTTAAAAAAATGTATAATTTCATTATACATTAGACAAAAACATGGATGATGAAGAAATAACGATACAGAATACTGTTTCATTTTAATGTACGTTTAAATAAAATAATAAAAAAATAGGAAATAATTAAATTAAAGTATCATAGTAATATTAACTTATGGTTATACGTGTATAAAATTATTTATTATAGGA